CTAATGATATAGTAGATAATTAAGATAAATTAGAATCTTTTATGCAAAGTTTACAATCATTTTAGAGAATCTTTGCAAGAAATGCAAAAAAAAACAAAAAAAAAAACTCTTTAATGACAGTAATAGTGAACATTCATAAATGTCAAAGCAGCTGTTAGGAATGTTTCAATTATACAAATGATAAAGGTGTGACATGTGCAAATGAAACAAGACATTTTAAACAATACAGTTTATAAAGTTGATGTTTATCACTAGTTCCATGTACCAGCACAAGAAACCTTAGCCAAGTTTAAGCCATTTTGACTTAGTGCATTGTCAATAACACATCTTAATGCAACATTTCATATTGATAGTGAAAAACCTTAACTCATTGGAAGATCTCATTTGCAATTCTCCTTACTTTCTGCTTTTCAATTCTTATGATATTAGTTTGGATACTTTGATATTGAATGAACTTATTATCCCCTACTTGATATTTTTCTTAATTTTTTTCTAATATTTGTCCGCTTGATATTGCATTGATATTGTAAGGGGAAATTTCCTTCTTGGTCACATGTGGGCATTTAAGGGTTGACTTACCTACCTATACTTGTCTGGTTGAAAGACCTCATCATTTGGTGGTCTCTTAATGTTTGAAAACATAATGAAATCTTTCAGTAAAATCATGATGTATTGGCAAGTACTATGAATGTGTAAGAATAGAAATATAATTTTTTCCAGCAACTGAATCATCATTGCAAAGTTCTGATGCAAGTGAGACCTCCTCAACTGCACCTTCAGAGAGCAATGTATACAGTGTCTTTGGAGGAGGGTTTGTGGCAAGCAGGCAAGGAAAACCACTAGAACGAGAAAGGTGAGTGTCCTGTCAAATTTTAGTTTTAACCTTCAGCAATCCAAAACAATTGGTGGAGAACAAATTATTGTTACTTTCCATGGTGCAAAGTAGCTCATATAAGGGCAAATAAGGAAGAATCCCTCTGAAAACACTTAGAATGGTGTTGCATCTAGTTGTCCAAGACATCATGCCTTCCCTGCTGGATGATCAATGTTTCTTGCTTTCTGTGTTTCAGATTTTCAACTTTTAGATTTTAAACCAATCTTAGATAGCAAGCTAGTGTGTGGACTCTCTCTTTCAGCATAGGATCACGAAAAAGTACCTCCCAGGCCTGTAAACTGTAATGATTTTAATTCTGAAAACACAGCATTACTTTTTGTAATGTTGTGCAAGTTTAAGGCAAAATTTCATTTGTTTAAATTGTAGTTAGTCACAAGTTTTCAAGGCAACAAACAATGTCATAATTTATCTTTTCTCCGCATTGTGGGCAAACATTATTTTTTTCTTGTATTTGTGACCATTTTCTTAATTAACAGTCTGACAAGTGCCTTCACTCCAAGAGGTGGTGACTTAAAGAATGGACAAAGCGATATGAAACCAGTAACCTTCAATCAGCCATGGACTACTGAAGAACAGGTTTGTCTGGTTTTACCATTGCATGCTAGAACAGAAAAAATAGTGTAGTACTCAATGTCAATCTTTTAATGAAACTAGCTGACTTCCCCAAAGACCCTTGGTATGTAGGTGTATGGTTTCTTTGGCTGAAATATTCCACCTATCATTTCCCTGTGGCCTTTGAGGCATCAATGTGTTGCCAACTTGTCAGTTAACATTTACAACCTTTCAACTACCTACTATAAATGTTTACAGCAGAATGTACCCTCAGTTGCAATGGAATTTAACCTTTTTTTGAGGGGTGATGATGGAACTTTTGGACACCAGCCTTACAAGATGCCAGCGGATTGGACATTTGACATTTGACAAATTTTGTTTCTCTTTTCAGGCTAAATTGGAAAAGTTGTTGCAGATTTATCCCCAGGAGGAGATTGAATCCAAGAGATGGGAGAAAATTGCTGCTGCCCTAGGGAACAGAACTTACAAACAGGTTTTACTCCAATTCTTCATATTATTATAATTTGTTACAGTTATTATTATTATTTTATTAATTACTCTTTGCTTTATGTACCAGCCACAGACAGAGATTATACATGTAGGCATCATCAGGGCTAATTCTGGTGCATTTACAACAGTCTCAATGAAACTAATTAAGTTATTTTTGCAATATCTGTCCTCTGACCTTATGTCCAATTTATGGCTCTAAATATGTGAGGGGTGAAGGGATACACCTCTGTCATGCTTTGTTCATATCAATGTTTTATGGAAAAATGTAAAAATCAGAGCTGTTAAATTCTTTTAGTAATGTGAATATGAAAGAGTGGTGACAGACAGAAATTTAACAAAATACAGATGATCATCTAAATGGCCAAAAGTTTTTATTTTATTTTATTTTCTTTGTCATTATCTTCAAATCATTGTGTCTTAGATGTAAAAGAATGTTTCTGAGAGTCAAGTCTCTGTATCTCAAATTGCGTACATCTTTAACATTTCTTTCCCAAGATCTCATTAGTAATTTTTCTTACTGCCTTCCATATTATTCTTATGATGTCAGTTTGGAGAATTTGGTATAGGATCAATTAATAATCCCCTAATTGACTATTTTCTTTATTCTCATCTCTTGTCATCTTGATCTTTTAATGATATTGCGAGGAGAAATTTTGTCTTGTTCACTCATGTGGGTCAAAAGATGAGGTAATCCTGGTATTTATCACAAGCGATTAAGTATTATCAACTCAGTTGATACCCTGTTACACTCTCCCACCGACGCACCACCACAGTTTCTTTAGAAATTTACGTAATCAGAAGTGCCTTGCTTGATCAGAGAATTCCCTTCGATGGTTAAGAAGTACAAAATTGAGGGAAAGCTCTAAAACCAAGGCCTCTTCAGTTTTGGATGTACCTCAAGAGAAAATGAGCGGAAGAGAGGAGTAATCATAACGTTTCCCTGGATATGTCGATTCCACAAAAATTTTTTCGGTTCAGAACGAGACGGAAGTACGTTTCTTCAGACCCCAGTAACATTTCTTTTCTTTCTGAGTTTGTTTTCTTCGACAATTTAATAATCCGCATGCTGTCCGCCAATATTGTAGTTTTCACTCAAACCATAGGGATCGAAGTTAGACTTCACGCGCACATGTCAGAAAACAGTCTGAGACTTCCGTTCGAGAAAATCCTAAAGAATAGACCATTTTCGAGTTTTAAAACCTCCACTTTCAAAATGAAGCTAAGAGCAAAACCATTCTTGTGAAAAATGAGTCATGTTTGCACAAGAATAAAATTAAAAAAATAATTTCGACATGAAATACTTGGCACCTACCCTTATTTCAAAACAGACTTTGTGCATCTCGAAAATGGTCCATAGTCACATCTCAAGGCCCGCACTGGGGTTTTCCCTTCTTTTACTTTATTTTATCTTGATTTACAATAATGAAAAGCGTCCTAACCATCTTAGAATGCTCATTCAATTACTCTAATCCCTCTAAGGTTGCCAGTCGAGTTCAGAAATACTTCATCAAGTTAGCTAAAGCAGGACTGCCTGTACCCGGTCGTGTGCCCAACATACCTCGGTTAGGAACCAGGGTAAGAGAGAAAACTTGATTTATGTTCCAGTTTTTCAGGTTTAATGGTTTGTTTATTTTCTTCATTTCATGTTTGCTTATTACAATGATTGATTGCGTCGGAAAGCAAATGCAAGTCGTTGCTGAAAAGGAATGAGAACATCTTAGAAATCACGTTGTTGATATGTGAAGAATGAGTACTGATTACACTTGCTTGATACCACTTGTTCCTTGAGTAATCACTACTAGATTCATCTTTTAAAATCTGTTTATTGAAAGATCGGGATATCAGCAAATACGTTTGTTAGCTCCAGGCTTCACTAGACTAGTGATATGGCCAGTTTTCTCCAAAAATGCTTATTGCACCTTTACTAGCTTTGCGAGTTGATGTGTGATAGATCGACCCCTAGGACACAAAAAATGAGCTGCTTAAAAGTGTCCAGGTTATCCTATACGATGGTACAACCTTGACATGTTCTTTTTCAAATCGTGTGGCCAATTGGTCTTGCAGAGTAAACGGTCCTCCCATCACTATCAGACTCTTGGGTTTCGAAATTCCACATTTTTCCCTTCCTATCGACCAAAAGTTTTAATGGACGAAGATGACGAAATCTCAAGTGTAGCTACGGATGATACGACCGGATATCCATCGGTAAGATTAGTAAATTTAGCCTTAAGCTACGATATTTCCATTCTTATTTATCAAAGTGCCTTTGTTAGCGAATGAAATATCCAAAGAGTGTCAGAGAACAATTTCATATTATGAAAGCTGTGACGTCTTCTTGACGTCATCTATTGCTGCTGTGTGGCTAGGAAAACAGCGGTCAAACATGCGCTTGTGTAAACGTTTCAGCGGCCCGACATGGTGCTCCAAGACCTTCAAGGCTGTCAGAGCCAAGTTGTTGTACAGTAGGAGTGTAAGAGAAATACTCTAAGCTCATAAGACAACGTTGGACAAACGAGATACACAAATAAGCTTTGTGTTCGTTAAGTCCCAAGTTTTCCTTTTGCCTTCTTTTGTTACCTATTGCAGACTTCTTTGAAGTTTTCCATTTTTTTTTTATAACTTTTGCGTGAAACTGCTGTTTTCTTATGCCGTAGTTTTGATGGAAAGCATCGTTATGGAATACCGTAGACGCAGATAATTGTGACCCGACCTAGGGCTAGATACAGTTTAGTTAAAATTACCATGAATTCTCATTTGGTCTTTTTGGTTCTTTTAATATGCACCTTCATCATTGCGATTATTATGGTTTTGGTTTAACAGCACTTTTGTACGAAGAGCGCCATTTTGTGTATAATTTACATTCTTGTAAACAAAAACACTTACTAACTTACTTTGTATACTGTGTTTATGATAGGATGAAGAAACTGTGCCAGTGGATCAGCGGAATACAGAGGAATACAGAGAACTTGTGGAGCTGAAGAGACTAAAGAGGCAGAAACTGACGGAATATCAGGTACTGTATAGCTAATCACTTTTGAGAGTGGTAAACGTCCTTTGAATATTGCAGTGAAAGAAAAAAAGGAAATTTGAAAGTTTACCAGAATATATTTTCCAGGGTGGATATATCTTTTTTATTCTTTTCATTAAGGTTCTCTTTCTCATTTCTAACACAGCATCAATTGCAAAATATTTCATTGCACCCCTTTATTTATACGATAATTATTCCGCAAGGCATAGTCAGTGGTCAGGCCTAAGGGATCCTTTTCATGTTGTTACAAAGCCTGCAGAAGACTCCTTTAGGCAGGTTTTGTGTTACAGAAACATAAATTTTTGGGACACCGTCTTGCACAGTATGCGCTCAAAATAAAATGTGGTCAAGAGAAAATAATTTCCCTCTATTTTGTCTTTCTGTGGCTAGACCCGTCTTCTTTTCTGCATTTGAAGTCATATTTAAACCCCGACGTTTGCTAAATCTTTTTTCGCCAATTGTTTTGTTTAAGAAAGCTCTACAAGGAATGAATCACTTGGCCTAAAATAGGTGGCTTATCCAGTGCAATGTTTCTTTTACATCACTTACTTTTCTCGTTGATTTTTTTGTGATGATTTGATTTTTATCACATAGTTGTGGTAGACTCTCGGTTTTTCCGTGTTCTGCGAATTGGCCCGAATGCGTATGCTTCGTTAACTACCCAACGGTCCGTCTTTTACGAATTCGTCTTCTAAAAAATATATAACCATTGATAATGCCTGGTATTTTTCTTCCGCAAAAAGAGCCCATTATTACCTGATATTTGTCCACCTTCCCTGTGAAAAAGAAAACCTTCTTTGCCTTCATGACTCAATGTTCCCGAGACTTGATCTCTTCTTAAATTATTTTTATCTAATTCAGTATAATGTAAAATGTTATAAGAAGAGCGATGACGCCAGTTTGTTTAAACCCGGTGACTTATCTTCACAAGAGACATTGCATCATTTTTCTTTCATACTTTGGGGACAATTAACTATTTTGTTGGCTCTATTCACACGCAACTGAGATTCAATAAAAGATTTCTCAGAATTTCTTTCACTGCAATCCTTATTTCTCGCATTTTCCAACAATACAGCAAAGGGTTAAGCGTTGAATTCAGATAAAGCAACGTTGTTGCAAAGTAGCTCATGATCATCAATGAAACGCTTTCTGAACCGGCGGCGTGAACAATCCAAACCAAACCGAAGGGAAGGTAGCAAATTATCATTGTAGCGAAAACCCACAAAGTAGTGGACACTGTTTTTCTGTATCGCAACAACTGCAAGGCTGAAATTCCTTTGGGTTGACACTGTGGAGTAATCTGAGCTTGGATATGATTTTTGAGGCTGAGATAGATTCGGGTATAACAGTAAGTGGAGATTATTAGCCATGAAGACCACATTATGGTGTTCAAGATGATGAAAGCGTTGACGCCTGAAAACACTGCCATGCAGACGGCAATGGACAATAACAAGAACAGAGTAGCGACCACTCTTGCTCGCTTGATGGTTACAACTTGGCGGTACCTGATCCTTAACAGCAAGGCGAGGTGTCTGTCCACGCTAATTGTGGTCATCGTCGCAAATGAAAATGTACTTGAGAATATGCTGACAAAATTCCAGATACTGTCGCTGATTACACACAGATTCCAACCTTGATTGAGAGCAGTCAGAAGGGAAGCAACTGTTGCTGGTTGCACGAGAAGACCAACACCGAGATCCGAGAACACCATGCAACGAAGAAATAATTTGGATGGAGGATTAGGGGATGATTCTTTTTGAAGTGCAATAAGGATGAGCGCATTTCCCAGTGTTGCTGTTATGGATGATGCGATGTTTAAAGCCACAAAAATCGGTGTGAAAGTGGCAAACGGCTGTGGGAATTTGCGATAGAGGTGACAATGCGGTGATTGTAGTGAGTAATTGGACATACTCTAACGACGAGGTCAAGATAAGTGATATCCTAGAAGTGATTCCTGTAACTATAACAGAAACTGCTTAATCGGAAGAAAATGAAAGGAATCACCTCTTTTCTGTCTTCGTAGTAACACTATTTATTTCAAAGCTCGCGTTTGTTATTTGAAAGAATGCATCTGCTCTTTCACAGCAAATGAAATACGAATGGTAAGCAATGAGTTCTTTTGTGAAAAATTTCACCCTTATGTAATTGAATATTATATTGATTATTAAGTTTACCATATTGTACTCTCAACAAAGAATAAAAGTCTTTTTTATAATATTTAATCTAAATGAAAGGCCGCGTTATGGATTAGAATGTTTTCCAATTTTCTTTCAAAGTTGTTGTGATTTTTTGGCTCAATGTCGCCAATTTTTATCCTTTGAAAATCACAACCTGGAATTTGTGGTTCCTGTTCAGTACTTATGTAAAGTTCAGTAATGATTCAAAGGATGAGCTGATAGCTATGGCGTTTTCGCTTATCGGAATCAAGGGGGCTTTTTTGTTATCGTCACTACGTGCTGTCATTGTACTCCTTAAATTACTTTTGCGTGTAGTGTAATTAAAGGAAGTTTGCTAACGGAAGGAAGGAAGGAGCTATGTTTATTAAAATCGTGTACTTTCTTCTTTTGAGAGATTGATGGGCCTGTTCTATTTCGATAAATGTTTGTCAGGAAATTGTCGTCCAATTCATATTTCATGTTGTTCGAGTAATACGCCTGTTAGAGGGAACTCTTTAGACATGAATGTTATTTATTGTAATTATTCAGAAAATTTAGATCTGGTAAATTCTACTATTCTTGCCTTAAAAAAAATCTAATGTTTGTGAAAGATCTCTTCGGGTATGGAATACTTACGAGTGTTTATGTATTTGGTGTGGATAGTTGTGGTGCTATTTATGTTATACAGTGAAAATATGCAGAACACAACATTTAGCCCTTTACATCCTAATATCAGTATGCATATTCTCCACACTGTTCTCTATATATTTCCTAAGGTGCTGACAAGGAGAATTTGTCTAACAATCAAGAGCTTCTTCAGTTGGCGATCATTTAATTTATTCTCATGACCTTAATGTGTGATTCAGGGATGATATTGTAAGGAGAAATTTCATTCTAGTCACTCTTAGGGGTCAAATGGTTAAAGTATTTGTTTTGCCTAGCCTTCTCTTTCCCTCAGTTCTATCCTTGTTTTCGTTACTATTGCCCAGAGAAGTTGCAACTCGATCGTATTTTGGAACTTTGTTGAGTAAATTTTGCAGTATGCCAGTTCTAAGGTATATTTCTTGATAAAAGACCGTCTCCTTCATGAAGGCATTTTAGCTGTCCTCGCGCGAGGTGATTATAGCGAAATATGACGCAATACTTGACCAATCAGAGTGTTTGCATCTCTATAATCACCGAAACAACTATAGTAATGTTAAAACTGTGTGTTCCATTTCTTTTTCAAACGGACACTCTGGAATTTGTTGGCACATGGGTACTTGATCTGGTTCGATAGAGGGTGATCATGTTTGTAGTTTATATCAGAACCAAGAGTTTGCCTCCACTTGCGAGCATGTGTGACATTGTAAGACTTCAACTGACTTTAACTTGATGTTTCCGTTCTATGATCCGCACAACTATCAAGCCAGATTCCTGAGAATTTCTTTTACTGCATTCCTTATTTCTCTGATTTTCCAGCAATACAGCAAAGGGTTAAGAGATGAATTGAAATGAACTAATGAGATCGCAAAATAGAATATCATCATGGATGAAATGGTTTGTGAAGTGGCTGAATGAGCTATGAATACCAAAGCAACCGGAAAGTAGCAAATTATCATCGCAGCAAAGAGCCACAATACAGTAGACACTGTTTTTCTGTATCGCAACAAGTTCTCGGGTGAAATCCCATTGGGCTGGCCTTGTGGAGTGATTTGAGCTCGGATATGAGTTTTGAGAGTGAGAAAGATTCGCATATAACAGTAAATGGAGAGTAATATCCATGAAGACCACATTATGAAGTTGAAGATTTTGGCGGTATGGCGGTACCTGTTCCTTAACAACAAAGCAAGATGTCTGTCCACACTAACAATGGTGATTGTTGCACACGAAAATCCAGTAAAGACTGCGTTAAAAAAAAATGAGATATACTCGCTGATTAGACACAGATCCCACCGTTGGTAAACAGCGAATAAAAAGGAAATAACTACTGCTGGTTGCGCGAGAAGGCCAACACTGAGATCCGAGAATGCCATGCAACGGAGAAATAACTTGGACGGAGGATTAAGGGTGGATTCTTTTTGAAGTGCAATAAGGATTAGCGCATTTCCCAGTGTTGCTGTTATGGATGATGCAATGTTTAAAGCCACAAAAACCTCAGTGAAAGTGGAAAAATTTGAAAAGTTGCGAATGAGGTGACAGTTCAGTCCTGCTTGTTGTGAGTAATTGAACATACTTTAACGACGAGGTAAAGAAAAGTGGAATTCTCAGTAGAAGTGATTCCAGTAATCATAACAGAAGCTGCTTGATCGGGCAAAAATGAAAGGAACTGCCGTTGTGCTTTCCTCTTTTTGACTTCTTGGTAACACCTTTTATCGCAAGAAAGCTGACGTTTGATATTTGAACTGAAAAATGTTTGTAATTGGAACATCTGCTCTCAACAATGAATAGAGCGCGAATAATCATAAATGAGTTTTACCCGAATTTAATTGCATATTATATTGAATAGTAGGTGAGCATTGTATTGATGACGGTTCTATGGTCTGATAACTTTCCTATTCGGGGATCTCACGAGTTTTGGAAGAATTGTATACGATTGGTCAGCTTGATGCCCCAAAATAATTGTCTTCTTAGAGTTTATTTGGCGAATTCATGTCAACAGTGTGGTATTAATGAAAAATGTTGTGAGGGCACAGGAATAAAGAGAACAAAGAACTTCTCTATTTGCATATTTATTAAAATCAGCAGAATAATCAATGAGTGCTGGTAGTCCAAATTTCACCGAAAGAAATGGGTTGATATTAAATCTCCATATCGTAATTTAAAAATTAATTTAGGATCGTTTTGTGATATTCATGGGAATTGAAAAGCCACTCTACAAAGGAGGGTGGTGTTTCCCATTTTTTCTTTTTTTTAGAAGAGATTAAGGTGACCACTTACCTCGATGTCGCAAATGTTTATCTTTTAAAAATTAACGGACACAAATTCTTGGTTCCTGTTCAGTATTCATGCCAAGTATAATTTTTGATGCAAAGGATAAGACAGTAGCAATGACCTTTTCGTTTATTGGAAGTGAATGGGAACTATTGTGATCATCACCACCTGCTGTCATTCTACTCCTTAAATTCCTTTTGCATGCAATGTAATGAAAGGAAGTTTACTAACGAAACAAAGAAGTTATGTTTAATGAGATCCTGTACTTTTCTCTGTGTAAAGATTGTGGGGGCCTCTGCTTATAATTTTGTGTTTTACAGGAAATAGTCGTAGATTCATATTCCATTTTTTTTTTCGCGTAATAACCTGTGAAAAGGAGCTGTTTAAACATGAATGGCCTTTTTTGTAAGTTTTTAGAAAATTCATGGCGAACTGTCGACTGAAGTTTCATGTTGAAGGGAAGAAGCCCATTGTTATCTAATACTTGCTCATGGTCTTCTTGAAAAAGGAAACTTTTATTGCCCTAATGACTCAATGTCTGCGTGATTTGACCACGCCCTAAAAATGCCCTTGTATTTTGACCTGTTAGAAGGAACTCTTTCTACATGAATGGTCTTTATTGTAATTTTTCAGAAGATTTATTATAGGTTAATTTTTTTATTCTTGTCTTAAAAGAAACTGCAATGTTTGTGAAAGTTCTGTTAGGGTATGAAATACATAGGAGTGTTTATTGATTTGGTGTGGATAGGTGTCGTGCTATTAATTTGCTATACTGAGAATATACAGATCACAACTTTTTAAGTCATTCTTTAACCTTAACATCTCTTTTCTCGGGTCCTATCCTTGTTTTCGTGACTATTGTTAAGATACTGTGCGGCTCCATTGTATTTTGGAATTTTTTGGAGGACATTTTGCAGTATGACAGTTGTAATGTATGTTGCTTGGTATATGTCGGTCTCCTTGAGGAAGACATTTTAGTTGTTTCCTGCTGCTAAATAGTTAGAGGAATCTATGAATGCAGCCTAATTGTCCATTGCCAGATTTCCTCGACTGTTGGAAATTTGCGATGGCATTCGGAATATAGGAGGGGCTGGAATGTAGTAACTTCTATTTAGGAATATCTCTCGCGAGAGCAATTCAGTATTCTTTCTGCAGTTTGATAACAAAAAATTAATCAGTGAATCGTGCTAAAGCTGTGTGTACCATTTCCTGTTTAAATGGGCCATTTGGAATTTGTTGGAACGTGTGAGCGTGATTTGATTCGACACAGGGCTGGCCATGAATCAGAAGCTATTTTGTATGACATCATAAGAATAAAACTGATTTTTACTTGATGTTTCCGTTCTTGTGATCCACGCACAACTATGATGCCAGATTCCTGAGAATTTCTTTTACTGCATTCCTTATTTCTCTGATTTTCCAGCAACACAACAAAGGGTTAAGCGATGAATTGAAATAAATCAAAGCGACTGCAAAATATTGCACCATTATCAATGAAAGGTTTGGTGAGGTCGCTGTACCAATAATGGTAACCGAAAAAACCGGAAAGTTGCAAATTATCATTGCAGCTAAGAGCCACAATGTCGTGGACACTGTTTTTCTGTATCGCGACAAGTTCTCGGGCGAAATCCCATTGGGCTGGCCTTGTGGAGTGATTTGAGCTTGAATGTGATTTCTAAGAGTGAGGTAGATTCGCGTATGACAGTAAGTGGAGATTATTAAGCATATGGACCACATTGGGACACTTGAGGCAATGAAAACGTTGTAGCTTATAAGGACTGTCAAGCAGTAAGCAGTAGACACTACCAAAAACAGAGCAACGACCACTCTAGTACGCTGGATAGTTACAACTTGGCGGTACCTGATCCCTAACAGCAAAGCAAGATGTCTGTCCACACTAATGGCGGTTATTGACGCAAAGGAAACTCCGGTAAAGAATGCGCTAACGAAATTCCAGATAAAGCCGCTGAGTAGACATAGATTCCAAAGTTGGTACGCAGCGCATAAAAAGGATGTAACTGCTGCTGGTTGTACGAGAAGGCCAACACCGAGATCCGAGAATGCCATGCAACGGAGAAATAATTTGGACGGAGGATTAAGGGAGGATTCTTTTTGAAGTGCAACAAGGATGAGTGCATTTCCCAGTGTTGCTGTTATGGATGATGCAATGTTTAAAGCCAAAAAAACCCCAGTGAAAGTGGAAAAGTTGCGACTGAGGTGACAGTGCAGTCCTGCTTGTTGCGAGTAATTGAACATACTCTAACAACGAGGTCAAGATAAGTGAAATTCTAAAGTGATTCCCGTGACTATAACAGAAACTACGTGATCAAAAGACAATGAAAGGAACAACCTTTTTACTCTCTACTTTTCTGTCTTCGAAGTAATACTGTTTATCTCAAGAAAGCGGACGTTTGATGATTGGAACGAAAAAGATAATGACGCATCTGCCCTCAAAAATCAATAGAACGTGAATAATTAATGAGTTCTTTAGACCAAATTTCAACGGTATTTAATTGAATTTTACAGTGACTATAAGTGAGGATCATATTGATAACGGTTCTATGCTCTGATCTTCGTTGTAGAGATTTTGCAGGTTTCGGTAGAATTATGTACGATTTGTCGGCTTGATGGCTAAAATAATTGTCTTGTAAGATTAAATTTACAAAGTTGGTGTCTATAGTTTGGTATTAATGAAAGATGTTTTTGTCTCGGGGTACAAGGATAAACAGGAAAAGGAACTTTTGTATTTGCTTATCTGTTAAGATCAGCAAAATAATCAATGATTGCTGGTGGTCCAAATTTCACCGAGAGAAATGAGT